AGACAGCAAAATGTGTCAATGCCTCCCTATAGCTAGCAACATGAGAATTCTCAGGCGGTCCACAATGTGTTGCAGATAACTTCTTTCCCTGGAGTTGTAAAAACAATTTAGGATCAGAAGGTTATATACAACAGTAACCTTTTTTTTTCCATTAGTACAACTTGCATCAACAAACTTTTTTGATGACCCAAAACTTGCATCAACAAATGTATGCCTTCTATTCCTGATAAGTACAACTTGCATCAACAAATGTATGCCTTTTTTCATGATAAGTACAACTTGCTTGTCATATAATACGAGCATCCCCAGGAAAGCAGTATTTTTAACAAGTCTCACAATGTTGTTTGTAATTTCCAAATATGTTATCACAAGAGAAGAATCTATTACCAAGCTCATTTGGGACTGAGGTGTTGTAGTAGTTGCTTAACAGAAAAAATCAAGCTTTCAGAAGATGCAACCCATATATTTGCACATATTAACCTTCTCACCCAGTTACACATGATACGATACTGATATACCAAGTTTTTAAAAAAAAATATATATCATACAGATATAAAAGAAAAGGTTGCGCAATATATGATCAATCAACTAGAATGAGAAAACAAAGGAACGCAAGGCGGTCAGTGTTCAACAAGCAATTTATTGGCATAGATAAATGCAGGAAACAGGAAAGCCACACATGTCCATTGATGACATATTTGGCACACCTCAAGAAAAAACTTTTCTTAAAATGAAAATTCTGATAGTTGTACACTAAACATACACTATACAAAAACTTACATGTTTCGAGAAAACAAAATACTAATACTTCTGTTCTTGTATATTCAAGTTGTCCCACGCAAAAGTAATCTTTTGACAACAAACTCAGAACCGCATATGGTTTTGTTTTTATTATCTGGTGGTCTGGCGTAAAGAATGAGCAAGGTTAGGAAAAAATGAAATGAGACATAAGACAGCTAAATGAACCCTAAATCTTAAGTGGTCGTGTGTTCTTACCCTAAATTATTTCATGCATGCAGCAATATAAGATGGAATTCAACAAAGTAATAAATATAAAGCTTGCAGTAATTGGCAGTTAGCACTGCTGACCTTTGCACTGAACCTTTGCTTTGGCAAAGAAATTAACTGGACACGAGCATCTCTTTTCTGTGACAAGGCCCGACCCATTCTCTTTTTGCATGTGAGCTGAAAGCTCTTAAGGATCTTGACCCGCTCCGTCAATTTTTTCAACTCTTCCAATCTTGCTTCAGTTTGCATCATCTTATCCCGCATAACTTTCTGACAAGACCTATTCTTCCTTATGGCATCAAGAAATGCATGTGCTGATTTTGGTAAGCAAGAAGAATTAACTGATGCTGCTATGGTTTCAGCACCAGAATCATGCCCCTCAGTGAGATTCTGAGAACTAGCAACGTCATTACTGCATCCTTCAGAAATCTGATTGGTTCTATCTACACAAGCGGGAAACCCTTCCTCAGCATTAGTTCTCTCTACAAAGAAATTATTGGAAGTTTCCTTTTCCGAGGATATGTTAGTGACACCAACCTGCTCAAATTTATCTAAAGGACTCTCCTTTCTTCTATTCCCAGAATCTGTATAAATTATAATATAAAATTTAGTCACAAATAAGACATGCATAAAAAAATGGTAAAACATTCTTGATCGCCAACAAACAAACAAGTATTTATCTCCTGTAATGTTAAATAGAATGAACGATTTATCCCTATTTACGATTCAAATTAAAGACTAGCAATGAGTATAGTTAAAATTCAAAATCTAAATCAACAACGGAAATAGTCTACCATCATCGTAGGCCGCAAAACGGCGCTCAATAGCACGTAAGGTTTCTAAATCATTCTCTTCATCACCCTCTGAGCCAGGTGGAAAAATAGAGCACAATGGTTTCAAACTTATAGGCTCGCGAAGCTCCGTTGATAGGGCAAATCGCTCTTGTAACCCATGTACGAACGCAATGTCATCGTTATCGTCGTTGGCGTCTGAACCAGAGGGCGTTATATCATCATCATCGGCGACGTGGCCACCGGCAACATCGCCGGTGGAAGATGAAGGTTGGAGGTCGTCGGCGTCCGTGCCGGCGAAAAGACAAGCTTTCTTGAGGGCTTCCATGTCTTCTTGGAAGCCGTCATCAGAATCGTTGCCGGATAAATCCTCATCGGAATCGAAGGCCATTGGGAATTAGGGATTCGGGCAATCCAAGGTTTTAGGAAAATTTTCAGTTGAATGAATGGTGATGGCGGTAACAGCTAGTGTTTAGAAAGCTGAAGAGTCAAAATTTGGGCTCAATAACAGAGAGCCCATAAATAAGCATTAAATAGGAGGTAATCCAATGAACACGCTTTAACAGTGGGCCGGGCCTACAATCTTGAAAAACTTCGGCCCAGTAAGCAATATATAAGTGGGCTAAGAGCAACTTAGGCTTTCTCTATTAATTGGGTCGTAGACATGGCCCATAAGTAAAAGGCGATCCAAATCAAAAAAGTGAAATCAAACCTAATCAATTATAATATATCAAAATACCCTTTAATCTTAAATTACTTGGATTGGTACCTTTTAATAAATAATTACTGATTTTAGCGATACTTTTTATTTATTATCATTTATAGCAATACCATGTTAAAATTGCAATATGTATTAAAAGTGAATTATGTATGTAATATATATGTATTATAACTATTTTTTAAAATATATTATGCTTGTTTGGTAAGAAATTGGCACATTGTATTATAAGTATATTAAAATGTGTTAATAAATGTATTATTCATCAATAAAACTTGTATTATATGTGAATAATAAATTGTTATGTATTAAAACTGTATTATGTAACTCTAAGTATTAAATTGAATAATACCTCCCTATAGATGATAAATATTTTTTTAACATAGTATATTTATGTAAGTTTCCCAAAGAAAAAAGCGCTATCCAAATTACAAAACTTTAATTTTTTATCAAAATAATTTCATATGACATGTCTAAATAAGTCTTAAAGAAAAATAAACAGTAAAAGGGAAGACGCACTAAAATATCTTCCTTATCCTGTCTTATACGTTGTGAAAAAAGTAATACAACAAACAATTTTTGCGATAGCATTGTGGACCAAACACATCTTCATCTAAATAACTTTACCAAACGATAAGGCACCAAAAGTAACTTTGATTAATTTTTATCTTTACTAAGCTAATGAGTCACCATGACAACGATATATAGTCCTCTGTGTTCACAAACAACTTTTTTAGAAGAGCCAGGTGAGAATAATAAGTTTATCTAAATTCTAAATATCTGATTTCTCCATCTTTTATTTACTTATAATAATTTTTGTGTTGATTACACTTTTAAAAATCGAGAGTCTATTAGAAATTATATCTTTATTCTATACAAAAATAAACATATGTCATGCATACATTCTACTTTTCACAGATTTTATGATGAGATTATATTAAATATGTTGTTATTGTTATATATAATAATAAATAATAGCAATAATAATTAAAAGACCACGCACTGTCTTGTACTACTTACTGATTGCTGCCAGTTTGTGGTGTGTATGTAATGGTGGGGTATTCATGCTGGATTTGCAAATATCTTTGGATATATATATATATATATATATAAAATAAAATCTTTTGTAGACAACACAATTATATGCCAAAAATTAGTTTAATCGGTCAAAGCATAGCCCCATTAAGCTTAATTTGTACAACACATGCCAAAATTTAAAACAAAGCTAACAAAGTTTGGTTTTAGTCTTTTCATTCAACCATTTCTGGACAAAGTTGTGGGATCTGCAAAAACGACATATATGTGATGAATATTATTGTTTCTTTATTCCATGATTATTTTTTTTATGAATTTCCATTGCATCTTACTTATTAATCTGCAATAAGAAATTTCTTGAATATATTTTTAAAAAGGAACTTGGCTAAAAGAAGCACGATAGTTAGTATATGAAACAGTGATTGGAATTTGGTGCGAGTATTTCATGACAATATTCTTATTAATTGATGTTTAATTTGGATCTTAATAAATAATTTACAGAATAAATAATTAATATTAAGTATAAAATATAAAAAAGAAATATTTTCTAATAATTGACGGTAAAAATAAACAAAAGAAATAAGTATTTATTTAATACTCCCTTGCTTCACGTTTATTTGTCTTATTTGAATTTGACACGTTATAATTGATATAACTATTTTACCACATTATTCATATTATATGATGTTTTGAAAATAATTTATGAAAAGTGATTTTTTTTTTTGAAATAGCGGATAAGTCAAAATGTACGAGTGAATAAAAAGGTCATTATCGCGCGTAACCATAGTTACTTGTTTAGTTATCGTTAGACATTAATTTTAGGAACATATATATATCCTTTGGTCAAAAATGATGAACTCATTTTCCTTGTCAACACTCCATCTTGATCGTTCTAACTTCTAACATCCAAATCATTAATGGTGTATTTGGTATGGAGGATGCTTTTAACAAATGTCATGTTTGCTTGATAAAAAATTACCTTTTTAAGAAACAAGTTATACTACTCTATTTTTTATATTTGAAAACTATATACAAAAATATTACAAATTGTAATTATTTTGATATTCATACGGTAAAAAAATATATCTTAAAACATTAATCAAAATTTAAAATTGAGAAAGTAACCTATAATTTGAGACGGAAAGAATATGCATTTTCTAATGAAAAAGAGACCCACGAAATTATTATCATGGGCTTGGTTAATTTGGAATACAATTGTGGAATGTGGACTCGATGTGACCGCGTCACTTTTAAATTTGATGTGACTTATTAGTCTCATAGTTAAATTATTCATAGCTTTAAAAATATTTGTTTACTTGATTACCTCAATCTTATAATATGAGTGAAACATATTCCTAAATTCGCGCCAAATTTAGAGCATTTTCAGTTCTTTTTTGACTTTTCATTCCAAAGATAAAGTAGATAGATGGACGTAGCTTCCTTAATCAGTACTACTAATAAACAATCCTGACAACTTTCTTCCATCACATTTGCTGGGTAAAACGAGAAAAACCCTTGCCCTGTTGTAGAAATTACACTTTGTGTTACTTGAATTTTGTAGCTTGATGTTGATGAGTAAAGAATAAAGATCATTGATTTCATAATTTGTTGGCTTGTGGGCATACGTAGGAAGCTGACGCAGGCTTTGCTTATTGGCATGTGGGCGGACGCACCAAAGCTGATGCTACCTTTACTTATTTTTCAACTACTTCTTGTGGAGGTAATTTGTTATGCAATTATTACTACAACTACTTTCTTTTCCTATACTGCGGTGTTCGAGTCAACTTAATTAGCAGTACAAATATCTGCTCTGTAGTTTCCATTAGCACATGTACAACTTAATTCAAACCACCAAAGTTTGGACGTATACGATGAAATTCGTAGCGTTTTGTCAACGGGAAACCTCATAGTTCGTCCTATTTGGTTGAGTGCATTTATTGCTGACTAGTTGCATGAGAATAACCTCTGTGGTTGACTAGAGCAAGGAGGAAAGTGAGACTGAGATGGTTTAGATATGTGAAGTTGGATATAGAGGGTACGAAGAGAGACATAGATAAGCCGAAAAAGTATTGGAGAGAGTTAATAAGATGAAATATGATGTAACTTCAGGTTATGCCGGACATGACCTTAACTAGGAGGGTGTGGAGGGCACATATTAGGATAACAAGTTAATAGATTGTGTAGTGTTATCTTGCTTAGGGTGGTTGGTGTTTGCCATGTTCTTAGTTGCATTATTGTAGTTCTTTTTTTTTTTAAAGAAAAATCGTTGTTTATTATTGTTTTCAATAATCTATCCTAGTATGTTGTTTGATATGTTTGGTTATCACATTATTTTATTGTTGTTTTCGGCTCTTTTTCAAAAGACTTTGCAGTGTTACCTTATTACTTGCTATATTCTCTTCCCTGTCTTTTTTGCACTTGAGCCGAGGGTCCTTCGAAACAACCTCTCTACCTCCATCTCCACGAGGTAGTGCTAAGGTTTATGTGAATTCTACCCTCCCTAGACCTCACCTGTGGGATTTCAATGGGTATGCTATTGTTTTAGTTCCATCACTCATAGTATTTTCTTCTTGATTCGAAAGGAGTTTGATTTGTTGGAGAAATTTTGTTACTGTTCTGTTTAGGAAGGGGAGTGGGGGAGGCGATCTGTGAATTCAAAATTTGAACTTTATGTATTGATGTTACTTAGAGGACCCTTTAGGCTTTAACATATATATAGAGTGTGAGCCAAAGTTACTTAGTTCGAGTTTGGATGATCAGATAAATTGTATACGAGGTCCACATTGGAGGGCTTTCAGGAAATGGAAGAAGGACATATATATATAAAAGAGTGTGATGTTTTGACTAGATGTTGGTATTTTTCTTTAAGATCATTCTTTTATGGGTACTCAACTACTCTGGATATGAAACGAAAAGAACGTTTCAGATGTTAATGTTCTGGTTTAGTCTATGACTATCATTCAAACGAAAGGTACATTTGGATGCTTACTGCTAATCTTCATTAATTAATGAACTAAACATGTTCTGATGCAATGAAACCTAATTGGAGTAGTAGTTGTCAAGCTCATTAAAAGATCCACTATACAAAGCTACTGGACACTTCTCCTTGATTTGCATCCTTGATTTGCATCATATATAATATAAAATGAGTTAAAAGGGTAAAAAACAAATAAGCAAATATTACTAGTTAAGTATTGGTTTTTCTCTTTTACCCACTTTTTAATAAAATATTAATTAAGAAATGTGTTTTAATATTTTACTCTTATCTATGTTTTAAAGATATAATTTTTTCATTAAATATTGACTATATTTATGTATTATCTACCCTAATTAAAGTGTGTGTCATATTCAAGAACAGTTACTACTAAATATAAATGTGAAAAAAATGCATGTGTCATTTGATGAAAAGCACTCGAATCACTTCTGATGATTGAATTGTCAACCTGATCAACCATGCTTTTATCTTAAATTTAAAATGACAAATAACTTAAGATAATTATTATTAGAAATTACGACAAATAATTTGAGCGAGTAATTCAACATGATAATGTTAATATTTCAAATGACGTTTTGGTTGATAATATAATACATCAAAATTACTATATAATCAATTAATTGAAAACAATTCAATGACTTGAAATTTTAGTCAGTTAGTAAAGATATATTTTAATTAGAAAAATGACTTAGAAATTAGGTCTATTTGACTATTTTCCGTGACTGCTCCTTCAATCACGCTAGATTATGAATTTTGAATAGATCATTTGTGATTATTTGCATGTAGAGTAGAATTATTATGCACAAAGTTTAAGAAAGAATCAAATAACGAGGTTGATCGAGATTTTTCAAGAGATTGTCTATGATGATGTTAAATTAGGTCTTAGGCCTAACTCACACCCCAAAAGCTAGCTCAAAGGGAGGAGGATTGCCCAAGCCTTATAAGGAGTCCACCCATCTCATTAACCACCGATGTGGGACTTTTGTCATTCTTTAACAAAAACACATCTAAACTATTCTACTTTATTGAGTTTCATACCTGAACTATTGGGAGTGTGAGTTTCACTCAATAGTTAAGGTATGAAACTCAAAAAATTGGGATAATTTGGGTGTGTTTTTGACTGTTAACTCATATAAAATAATGATTAATGGGAGACAGTTGAATGCTTCAATCTTGATTGGGCCAACTGATAAGAGCAATTGAATGACATGAAACAGGACAAATATGCATAAGTTCAACGCTTATAAATGCCGCATATCTTCCCTCTCAATCTTCATAACTGATAACACATCTCTTGAATCCTTTTGACTTTACTTGACAGGTCAACTGCTGAGAAACTCTCATGGCATTCTCAATTTCTCTTCCAGACTTTGTTCATCCTCAACTCCGTCATGTTGTTGCAAAGATGTCTTTGTTTGACACAATTTTGTTCTATGTTAGTGTCCTCTGTTCCCTTCTTTTAACCGTTCACCTGTGTGATATTATGCGTTACAATCTAGAATGTTTCTTTTACTAGTGCTCATGTTTTTGATATGGCAGGTTGTACATCTTGTGGACAAGTTTGATTTATGGCATAGATTGCCGGTGTTACTAGGGGCGGCTTACCTAGGAATAAGAAGACACTTGCACCAGCGATACAACCTTTTACATGTAGGGAAAGTTAATGGCAAGAAATATGACACAAAAGAGTTTACCTATCGGACTGCTGATGGTACGTGCAATCATCCTGTGGATCATTTAGTAGGCAGTCAAGGAACCTTCTTTGGCCGCAACATGCTACCATCCACTTCAAGTTATGCGGTAGGCCAAAATGCAATCAATTATGCTACACTAATTAAATCATGTAAATTTGATAGTTTCAACTTTACCAGATATTTCAGTTTTCTGTTCAGTAGGTTAGGGGGTGCAAATTAGTCTGTTGAACCTATTTCAACGCGTTATGCTGATCTTTTTAGATAACTAACTTGCATGGTCCAATAAATGTGTCTTAATCATATCGCTATCTGAAATCTGTAGCTTGAGATCTCTCAATGATCACTTGTGACAATATCATCTGATTATGCAGCTGCTGGAACCTCACCCTGTAACCGTGGCCACCAAGCTCTTGGAAAGAAGAAAGTACACAGATTGCGGGGGGCAATTCAACATGATAGCGTGCGCGTGGGTACAATTTATGATCCATGATTGGAATGACCATATGGAGGACACTGAACAGGTACCTAGTAAATATGTGTTTTAAGAACTGGAGGGGATTTAAAGGTCAAAAGTGACCTATATGCACTTAAAGGTGTGTTTTCTGTTTCTCTAACACAATTTTTTCAACAGGTGGAGCTTAGAGCTCCTCAAGACGTTGCAGCAGGGTGTCCGTTGAAGTCATTTAAGTTCCTTAAGACCAAGAAACTTCCCACAGGCTCCCCTGATCTGAAGTTTGGGCATTTGAATTCAAGGACCCCATGGTGGTGAGTAGTGGACTCAAAAACTCTAAAATAGTTGTGATTTTGTTTGTACTTCTATTGACTCCAAAGCCAGCAATAAAACTAAATACCTTTATGCTGATGGGGAAAGCTAATAATATAGGAGGATAGTTGAAAATAATTACCTGTTTAACTAAAAATATTTATTAGGTAAAGAAAGAGTATTTGGTTATTACCTTGACTCTTTCACTCTACCAAACTACTGCTTTGTAGCATGCTAAAAGAGTCAAGGTAATAACCACGACAGAGATGGAGGGGAGAAGGGGAGGCAAAAATATTATTCGAATAGTGAAGATTTATTTTATCTGATGAAATATATATGCTCTTGCTGTTTTGTTAGGGATGGGAGTGTAATATATGGCAACAACGAAGAGGGCATGATAAGGGTGAGAAGATTTAAAGAAGGAAAGCTCAGGGTCTCAGGTGATGGACTTCTGGAACATGATGATAAAGGCATTCCAATATCCGGAGATGTCCGAAACTATTGGGCAGGCTACTCTCTCTTGCAGGCCTTGTTTGTGAAGGAACATAATGCCATATGTGATATGCTTAAAGTAGGTTAATGAAGTACCCAAGTTTCTCTTTTCTATGGTCATATGAAGTTTACGTAGTATAGTTGGGACATCGTGAAAGAAGCAAATGAGCATGTATTATGACATTTGATTATTTTACACTTCAAACTGACTTTGCTTAAAATCCTGTTTTGTACCTCTCAGGAACATTACCCTGAATTTGATGATGAAAAGGTGTACCGACATGCAAGATTGATAACTTCAGCGGTCATTGCAAAAATCCATACTATCGATTGGACGCTTGAACTTGTTAAGACTGATACTCTAATGGCAGGAATGAGGATCAACTGGTAAGAGTACTTGAAAAAAGATCTATGTTGCCAGATCCTTCAAAAATGTCATTGCACCTATGCCGGATCACCTAAAAGTAATGCATTTATGGATGATTTGACACGGGCGTTGAGCAAATATAGACTATAACTGTGATTGAATTAACAAATACCTCCCAATTTTCAGTTAGTCGTCATGCATCATGCTTTTGCATTACGAATTTAACTATTAATGTTAACTAAAAGAGTCTAGTGTGATTCAGGTATGGCTTGTTGGGGAAGAAAGTCAAGGATTTATTAGGACCCAAATTTGGACCAGTACTGAGTGGCTTAGTTGGTCTTAAAAAGCCTAGAGACCACGGAACTCCCTACTCATTGACTGAAGAGTTCGTTAGTGTCTACAGAATGCATTCACTTTTACCTGACACGATTGTTCTGAGGGACTTGAAGTCGACTACATCAGAAGACAAATCCTTGCCTATTCAAGATGAGTATGTTATCCAATTACACATTTTCCATTTATAAGCAAATTATGCCTCCCTATATGACATTACTTGTAGGATATATGTATTTCTAATTGTGTAGTTTGATAATCAGGATTCCTATGAGGGAAATGATCGGGAAAGAAGGAGAAAAGAACTTGTCGAAAATCGGTATGGAGCAGATGCTGGTATCAATGGGCCACCAGTCATGTGGAGCTGCTACGTTGTGGAATTTTCCATCATGGATGAGGAACCTTGTTCCTCATGATATCGATGGAGATGATAGACTTGATTTAATTGACATGGCCGCCTTGGACAGTATGTTTTATCCCAGTGGACTTCTTTTGCATATTGTTTTCATCTTATATATATAGGAATTGCATGCTAAATTTCTAAGTGAACAGTTTATAGAGACAGAGAGAGGGGAATTCCGCGGTACAATGAGTTCAGAAGGAATTTGCTGATGGTACCAATTAGCAAGTGGGAGGATTTAACTGATGACGAAGAAGTAATTGAGGCTCTACAAGAAGTATATGGCGATGATATTGAGAAGCTAGATCTCCAAGTTGGTTTGCACGCGGAGAAGAAAATTAAAGGCTTTGCCATTAGTGAGACTGCCTTTTTTATATTTCTGCTCATTGCTTCAAGGTATGTCAATATAATCACAGTGTACAAAACTTAAACTCTACGCAAAACAAGAATTAATCTTCATGCTAATTTGTGTGACTACATTTTTTTTTTCTCCAGGAGGTTAGAAGCTGATCGATTCTTCACAACTGATTTCAATTCGCGAACCTACACAGAGAAAGGCTTCGAATGGGTAAACAAGACAGAGACATTAAAAGATGTCATCGATCGAAGCTTCCCTGAAACGACAGAGAAATACATGAGATGCACAAGTGCATTCTCAGTGTGGAGTTCAGATCCAGATCCTAAACACTACTTACCTCTTTATCTGAGACCAGCAACCTAATGGTAGTACTATATTTGGTTCAATGTGATCAACTTTGTAACCTTTGTATGCGATGATTATGTTAAAACAATGGTAAGTTTGCAAGGAAAATATAATGACCTTAGTTTACAGTCAGATGAATAAACCACCGAGAACTATGGCGGAGTTTATGATACGTAGTTTTGTAGCGTACCTATTGTATTAGAGTATGTGATGTCATTTATAGATATATGCAAGTTTTTTTAAAGACTATTTGTTTCCTCATTAAGTTAAACTCCAAGATTAGTTTGTATAAGGAAGCTTAACTTGTGTTTAATTTTATTTGCACTGGTATTTATATCATGCAAGTCATACTAATTTATCATGATTAAGTTATAAATGAAAGCGCGAATGTGTATTAACTAACTAGTACTCCTTGTTTAGTGATAAAAGTTATGCGAAGACATGTGATGTGTCGTGTATTTATTGGGTTAGTATAAACATCAAAGTGCAGGTATTTGTTTTAATACTATAATTTTTCCACCATTAATAGAGACAATTGCAGGCAAAACTGACAAAGCGAAAAGCTTGGAAAAAATAAAAAACAGATGAAAAGCTATTTTTTTTAAAAAGGCAAAATTAAAATTAATGCACGCGCGCCAACTAGGAGCGTGGTAGATTAAATTTCCCGGGACTCCAAATTTCAAATTTATCTTCGCGGTAAAAATGTTAAAACACCAAAGCTCCAAGTCACATTACTCAGTGAAAGGGAAAACAATAAACGAATAACTATTTGCCACGTGGACAATCGACTTAGAGTTTGCTAACGTGGCGCTTTCCCATTGGATTTCACTTTCATTTCCGTCACAGTTCCGTTAACCTGACAATTTTGGAGCTAGGTATAGATTATTGAACACATGCTCTTCTTCCCGCCATTTTCTCTCACTTCCTCCAATCGCCATTTTTTCATCTACAGATCCAAAACCCAGAAAGCTCAAAAGAAGAAAGGTAGGAGAAAATACCCAGAATCTTCTAGAAGAATTAAAGAGGAAAAAAATGGGTATCAAAGATCTCCTCCGGTTCATGAAGCCCTATGTTGAAACCGTCCACATTAAAAAATACGCCGGCAAAAGGGTAAAAACCATTTCATTGACTTTCAATTCAATCTTCAAATTCATCGCATTTATCACATTCTGGGTTTTGATAAAAATCCAATTTTGTTGGGTATAGGTGGGAATCGATGCTTATTCTTGGCTTCACAAAGGAGGTATTTTTTAAAATTTTGTTTTGACATTTATTAATCAAGATTCAATTTTTGTAATCTATATTATAGTTTTAAATGGATTGAATCAATAAAAGCTGTAATTTTCAGCATATTCATGTAGTATGGAGCTTTGCCTTAATTCGGAGGGTGATAAGAAATTGCAGTACTTGAATTACTTCATGCATCGAATCAATATGCTTCGACATTATAAGATCACTCCTGTAGTTGTTTTTGATGGTGGGAACTTACCCTGCAAAGGTGCTACGGAAGACGAGAGGCACAAGTGTGTAATCTAAAACTTAATTCTTATTAGTTAATACCTGATTTTGTGTTGTTACTAGCCTTCTGGATGGTGAATCTTTTATTTCAATAGGAGAAGGAAAACAAATAGAGATCAGGCAATGTTGAAGCTAAAAGAAGGCAATGTTGCTGGTGCCGTTGAACTCTTCCAGGTACTTTTATGCAGTTTCTTTATTAATCCCATGGTTAACTAGTTGCTGTGGTTTGATAATTTATGGAAAATGCCTAAAGGGTTGTGGCTTTTGAGAATAGTTAAACTATGCTATATTGGTTTACCTTTAGATGTTTAATGCACAATCCAGTCAGGTGGCAAACTAATGTTTCGTTTTATCCATTCTAATGCTTCATATGCAGAGGGCTGTGAGTGTCACTCCTTCAATGGCGCATCAACTCATACAGGTACTTGAAAATCATCTATTGAGTTCAGCTAGTTAGAGTTTTAAACAGTAGACTAACTTGTCTACTTTCAGTCATAAAAGACGTTTCATCAAGACGCTTATTCCTTTTCTTTGTTTGTGGAAGACATTTCAGACACTTTCCTGGTTTTTTCTCAGTAGTTTGGCATGATTTCAATTATCCATATCTACTAATTCTAGATTTCAAGTAATCCAGCTGTTACAAAGATCTTCTACTCGTGCAGATTCTGAAGTCAGAGAATATAGAATTCGTAGTAGCACCATATGAAGCTGATGCACAATTAGCCTACTTGTCTAACCTCAAAGAAGAAAAGAATGGAATTGTGGCAGTGATTTCTGAAGATAGTGACTTACTAGCATATGGCTGTCCCGCTGTAAGAAAATCTCAAATACTTTGATATGGCATGATGGAGGTTACTGCTCTCCTAACAGCTTAATTCCCTTTATTTAGAATCTAGTCGACCCATGTTGATTTTATGTGCTTGTCAACAGGTTTTCTTTAAGATGGATGCCCATGGCAATGGTCAAGAAGTGGTACTAGACCATGTTTTCAGTTGTGATACTCGTGTTCCTTCCTTCAGACATTTCAACAAAGATTTATTTACAGGTTATTCTCAATTTTTAACTTCAACTCATTTGCATTGAGAACCAAAATTAGAACATTTAGAAGTTGCTATACCCTACTATCAGCTATCACTCCAAGGTACTCTTGCGACTGATAATGATGATGATCAACTGCCTTTGTTCTTGAAGTCAATGGAAGCAAACTAGCTGCTGAAAGTGAAATGCTTTCTAAAAACATTTGTCTGTCTTTCTTCCTTGTGACTTTTTGCGATATTTACCTTTTGCACCATTTGCAGGCATGTGTGTCTTAGCTGGCTGTGATTTTCTTCCTTCAGTCCCTGGTATAGGAATTACAAGAGCTTATAATCTGGTCTCCAAATATCGCAATTTAGATCGAGTAAGCATATTCTCTATTTGTTCAAAACAGAGAGGTTTATCTTCTTGCATCGGTAATTGGTGATAAATTGCTATGAACAAAAAATTTCCTATGCCTGACGATTAATTTCTAATTTGAAAAAATTCTCTTCACCTGGATTTTACTATTAATACGAAACATGAAAGACTAAAATGCCATCAGAATTGACTTGGTTTATTTGATAGATATATGGATCAGCTTTGCACCTGTTTGATACCTGATCTTTTACCTGATAGATATATATGGATACCAATTGAAGATGTAATTACTTTCTAATTAAGAGGTGAAATCATAAGATCCTTCTAGAGAAGACATCGAGGAACAACATAATTGATTTTACTAGATCTTGTTCAACAATTTGATCATTATGAATGGATGCTTCATTCCCCAGCAAATGTCTGTATTATATGGTTTGGATGTTTAGTGGAGAAATGTTAAATTTGCATTGTCCCATATTGTTCTTTGCTTAAGAAGTCCTGAAAAGATTTATAATCTTTGAGCCTCGCAATTAAAAGTCATTTTCCAATGTTTAACAGGTTCTTTCCACGTTAAAGTTTGAGAAAGGAGATCAAATGCCCGAAGATTATGCAAGATCATTTAGAGAAGCAGTTGCAGTTTTCCATCATGCTAGAATGTGAGTCTAATAATTGACATGACATCTTTTTGATGTAGTTCTGCCTTTGTTTGTCAGCTGACACAAATAATCAACTTTTCGTCTATGTTTGATCAGATATGATGTTAGTTTGAAGCGGATCAAGCACTTGAAACCCATCCCAGAAGAGCTGTTGCAGTTTTTGGACGAAGAACTTGACTTCTTAGGACCGTATCCTTTAGTTACTTGGACCTTGCCTTCTCTTATGCCAAAGCTTCAGCATTCTCTAACCTTTTACAGAATAGTGCTTTAAATTGCTATATCTGATGTTTCTGCAATGAAAGGTATGGTAAATAAATTTCTCCTTGACAGTCACAAGAGAAATTCTTCCGTCATTGGCAACATCAATTGCTCAAGGTAACATAGATCCTTGTACAATGGAGGCCTTCAATGTCTTTCCCAGTACAGTAAATCATGTCTCTACTGCAAACATCAAGAAAATTTGTGGTCCCTTCTCTCGACAAGAGGCATTTACTCAAGCTTCAAAAGACAGCAGCGTTTTTGCTATTTCTTCAAATAAATCCAGAAAAGAAACAACAGGCAAGCATGATATTCAGATAACCATTAATGCCACATCTTTTTTCTTGTGCGTGCTAATGTCACTAAGGGTAGAACTTGTGTCGGGAAAGAGATGATGATTCTCCAATATTTATTTAACACATTTTTTGTTGTCATTTTCAGTGGTGGAGACAACGCAGGCCTCTGATACTGAACAGACGCAGTGTCTGTTTATGGATGAAAGTGAATGCTTAGAGGAAGCAGTAGCTCTTCAAAACATGATATGCCCTTCAATATCAACTCGGAAGATGGTGGGAGAAGAGAAAAAGAGTCATCGAAAAGAAGTGCTGAAAGTTCCAGATAATAATCCTTTTAGGAAAAGAAAAGTGGAGGAATTTGAGCCAGATGAGATGGATAGTGTTACTGAGCTAGTCTCAGAAGTTACTGAAGTTGAAAGCCTGGAAGTTATATGTACAATTCCAGAATCACAAAAAAGTGTGGAATCTAAGCCAGTTGAAAGGATTGTGTTAAAAACAGTTACCAAGGAAAAGAAGGTTAAGAGGAGTAATTGCCAAAGTTCAGAAAACAAGAAAAACACTATACTAAATTTCTTTTCTCGAGTGTAATTTATAAAATTTGACTCAACATATTAATTTCTTGTGTCAATCACTTTTCTTTTTTCAGTCTAGCATCTTGGAAATTTCTTAATACTATTCTCAATTATACACATCAGTTCCACTGTCATCGCGCAAGTGATAGGCAATCTGTGGTAAGACTGGGCGTCGGACCGGAACGGAATCACCGGACCGGAATGAACCGGTACCGGACCGGAACGGGATGGGTTGACCGGTTTGTTGACCGGTACCGGGATGAACCGGACCGGAATTACCGGTACGGATACACGGTTCCGTCCCGTTCCACTATATACCGGGATGGAACCGGAACGGACCGGAACGAACCGGAATGGAATGGGACGGGATAAACGGAACGACACATCTAGCTATTTTAAAAAATGATTCTAAGTTTAAATTAATAGTTTTTGAAATTTATAATGTAGTTTTACTTAAGTTTATTTTAAA